AATGTTGAAAATGATGGAGGCGTCACTGAGGTTAATTTGGTATCGGTTCCTTGACACCCTCGTTATCCCAGTTGCATAGGTAATGTCAAAGTTTTGTAACTCATACCACTCACCTTCCTCCATAGGGCTTTGAAAAGGTTCATCCAAATCTTTTGAAAAGGTGGCTTGAATTGTAGAACCCTGTTTAAAGAAATATAATATGTTAGTTTATATTCTCACGACCATAAATTATACAACAAAAATTATTAAGATGTATCAAACTTACCTGCTCATCTCCAAATATGAGTTGAGAAGTCATTGTCTTTGTGCCAATTACTGTGGTCCCCCTTTTGAGTAGCTTAATACGGAGTGGAGTCGTATGTTTCTTGTGACTCAACTCAACGAACAAAGTTTTAAAGTGTAAGTGGTTGCCACCTTGAAGGTTTTTTATGCGATTTTCCCTATTTTTATTTGTATAAATTTACCTTTTCTATAATAGGTTTTTTTAACTCATATATTATATATACACCACACCCAGATCCACTTTCCTTTCCAACACCACTTTCAAACTCAAATAATCCTCTTCTCTCTCGTTTCGTCCGAATTCTCGAAACTGGGCGTTGAATGTTGCCACACCTTTAAAACTCCCATCGAGGAAGAAGAACACGAAACGCAGAGATTCGACCCAGGTGCCCCTTCTCCGTTCAATTTAGCTGATATTAGAGCAGCTATTCCTAAGCATTATTGGGTTAAGAATCCATGGAAGTCGATGAGTTATGTCCTCAGAGACGTTGCCATTGTGTTTGCATTGGCTGCTGGAGCTGCTTACCTCAACAGTTGGCTTGTTTGGCCACTCAAGGAACCATGTTCTGGCTCTCTTTGTTCTTGGCCATGACTGGTACTATAATTAAAAAAAAACCTTATATTTTTCTTGTTTAGCCTCTGACTTGGTCAACTTTAGATGATGATTCCCATTATTGGTCTTCTTCTAGTTGTCACAACAATTGTTTTTGCTCTGTTGGTTTCAGTGGACATGGTATCTTCTCAAATGATCCAAGGTTGAACAGTGTGGTTGGTCACCTTCTTCATTCCTCAATCCTAGTCCCTTACCATGGCTGGTTAGGTTTGCTTTCAAACCATTTTATTTTCTTAAAACGAAAAGCAATCATCTTCTTGGTATAAATATATGTATTTTGATTCATCTGCAGGAGAATTAGCCACAGAACTCACCACCAGAACCATGGACATGTTGAGAACGATGAATCTTGGCATCCTGTAAATTATCAGCACTGGCTCTTGTTTCAGTCATGTGGTGTTTGTTTTTTATTTATTTTGTTTCTGTAACTGCAGATGTCTGAGAAAATCTTTAAGACTTTGGACAAACCAACTCGGTTCTTTAGATTTACACTGCCTCTTGTGATGCTCGCATACCCTTTCTATTTGGTAAGGAAAAAAAATTCATTTCTTTGTTTCTGTAATAACTTAAGCTTACACATGATCAAGTAAATAAAAGGGCTCATGTGTTTCTTTATCTGTTGTTTTCAGTGGGCTCGAAGTCCGGGGAAAAAGGGTTCTCATTACCATCTGGACAGCGACTTGTTCCTTCCTAAAGAGAGAAAGGATGTTCTTACATCTATTGCTTGTTGGACTGCAATGTCTGCTCTGCTTATCTGTCTTAACTTCGTGATGGGTCCAATGAAAATGCTCAAACTTTATGACATTCCTTACTGGGTAATGCTGCCTCTGTTACTCTCCCAATTCATCAGACTAAGGAATTTGCGTCTGAGTTTATTTGCCTTAACCTGAAAACTCCAAGCTAAGCCTGCTGAGCAAGATGCATTGCGATTTCCTCTTCTGTGGACGCACTGGAATATGATCCAGGACTAATTCCTGAGACATCGATCAGGTCAGAGCGCCCATAGTCCAACCACCGGATTGGAATTTACCATTTGAGGTCATGTGCGATGCAAGTGACTACGCGGTTGGAGCCATTTTGGGGCAAAGGAAGGACAGGAAGTTGAGCGCCATCTACTATGCTAGTAGAACCTTGGACGACGCGCAAGTCAACTATGCCACCACCGCGCTTACGCTCCTCGCCGTAGTTTTCGCCTTTGAGAAGTTTAGGTCTTACTTTTTTTAAATGTTATGTACAGATAAATGTAATGTGGTTGGACTTTGTGCCTTATTTTCATCACCATGGTCATGAAGATAAGCTCCCTTGGTAGTACCGTGGGATGGTACAAATGCAGTCTGTGGCCTTTCACTATTCTGTAGAGACAACGCAATGTCTCATGTTTGGTTAAAGCCACTGTTGCTTAATATCTCATGTTTGGCTCAAAACAGGAATGGAGTTACTTCAGAGGAGGGCTTACAACATTGGATCGTGACTACGGAGTGATCAATAACATTCATCACGACATTGGAACTCATGTGATACATCATCTTTTCCCACAGATCCCACATTATCATCTAGTAGATCAGAGTGATGCAACGGAATCGAAGAAGACAAAAAGCTAATGTTCACCAATCGTTCTATTAAAATTAGGGTTTCCACGAAATAGAGAAGGGGTTATCGAAGAAAACAAACATATGCTTGAGGAGTCAACGAAATGGGCTTAGTGGGCTTGTTCTATAAAAATGACGGATCTTTAAAACATAAAGCCCACGTTCGAAAATGCCTCAGTGACGTGGAAGAATGAAATAAATTGATTGGCTTTTATACACGTGGACAGCTTCCCAAGACTGTATATTGCCCTTTTNGAGAAGGGGTTATCGAAGAAAACAAACATATGCTTGAGGAGTCAACGAAATGGGCTTAGTGGGCTTGTTCTATAAAAATGACGGATCTTTAAAACATAAAGCCCACGTTCGAAAATGCCTCAGTGACGTGGAAGAATGAAATAAATTGATTGGCTTTTATACACGTGGACAGCTTCCCAAGACTGTATATTGCCCTTTTAATACTTGTGTGATTACTATCTATTATATAAAGAAGAGCATCCTTCCTTCTTAGCCATGCCACATAGGATTCCAGGCTGGAAAGGCCAGGTCAGCAACTGGTTTGGGCCAATTTCGTCTGGGCTAATTAGAATAATGATAGCCCTCCACGTGTTTAACCTATTTTGTTAACGGGTTTCAACGTAATTGTTTTGTTTGTTATGTTCACTGTTTTAAAAATTTGGGCTTTAGAAACCCATAGACAAAGTGACGACGTTTGACGTTCTACTTTTTCCACGATGTTAGCTGTAAATTAGGGATTTTTGTTTTCTCCAAGCACGAAGTAGAGTAAATTACAATGGAGTATTCATCGATTCTGTTTAATGGCTAACTCATTGATTCTTCTTGCTGCTTTGAAGACTAGCAGCTGTTCTTCCACCGTCAGTGTGATTGCTCAGGTTCTCTCTTATGGGGTTTTTATTTTTCTTCTTTCAAACTTACATCTTCATTTGATTGGCCCATGTGTTGTTCGCATGAATCCAGGATCGTAGCTCTGTCGTTCACATGATCCATAAAGACCCAAACTATTCATATTCTCGAGTTCTTCTCGGTGATTTGAAGGTCGGCCGTTGTAAACTCCACCGTTGACGTGCCTCTCCTGAGATTTTGGGAGGCCTGCAATGTAAAGAAAGCCGGCGAGCTTATGTGTGTTGACACGCTATTTCTAGGGAGAAAATACATTACTATCAGCTTCCAATTTCATGTAGAGTTTATACTTTCCGATTTCATACAAAAGCCCTTTACTTTGCTTTTTCTGACTTTTACTTCACTGTGCTCTTCTGTAGACGCTCTCAATGGTTTAAGGTCTCTAAGATCTTTCAATGGAACCCTTTTGAATAAATCCTAAACCTTTGTTTATATTGTCGAATCACTTGATGAATGGTTCCTGAAGGTATTGTTTTTGTTGTTGTTGTTGTTATTGCAGTTATTTTGTCGAAGACAAAGAAGAAAAGAAGGGAGGGAGCAGAAGGAGAATATTTTTACTGGAATCAGATACTGTCGAAAACTATAACCCTGTCCATGTTTTCTCTTTTGAAAAAACATGAGAAATATCATATTCAAGGAGTTCAGACAACAATCTAGAGTCTCTAGACATAATGGAAGGTCTGTTTCTTTGTTTTTTTTTGTAATTATGGATAGCTGGGTGCTGCTTGAATGTAAGTGAGATTAATATGTCACATTCAGTCTTTGATTTTAATTTGGTTCCTATTGGTTCAGGTTCTTTGTCAGCTAGAACACAGCGATGCAGTTTGCTCTTGGTCGTTCTGCTTCTAAAAAAATCCATCATTCCATCTTTAAAGCCTTCAAGGTTGTGTACTCTGCTTCTTACAATAGCTGTCTTATATTACTTGGTCTTTTCTCTCCAGTTGCGTTTTCACATATGTTTTGGAATTTTATTTCAGCTGCTTCATGGTGATAATGCTTATTCTGGTTATTGAAAACCTCTGTTTTTCCAATCTTGCTTTGGTAAAAACAATAGTGAAAGGCTTAAATTGTATCCATCTCTCTCCTGGCTTTCCCATATCTTTGTTGTAATTGTTTCTAAATGCTTATTCTGGTTATCATTGCAGCTATTTGACGTTTTGGAGATTGTGACTTTATAAGGACTTAAAGCACTGAACGGTTTGTGACTAAAACTATTACCAGCTTGCTAAATAAACAAGCTTGCCTGTGTTAATCTTCATTACTGATCAACACTGTTTTGGTACAATTGATTGACCAGGTTGAACTGAAGGGAGGTTTTCCAGACCAGTTCACACATGAGCTGGAACCATTTCTAAGGAAGCAAGGTGGGCCAGTTCGTCTCAACAAAAGCTGTGTCTTCCCACTTTTAGTTTCCCTCTTCTCATTCACAAAATTTATTTATTTTCTTGATTTGTTATGTAAGTACGTGATGTTGATCATGTTACAGTCAAATGGATCCCAGCCAATAATCCGTTTGCAACCACAGTTAACGATATTGATCAAGACTTTGCTCAGAAAAATGTATATCAAAAGGACGGTGTTCCTTTCTGGCTTCGAGCTGAGCATGAAGCTATACAGAGAAAGCTTGATGCCTTACAAAATGTAAGTTTTTTCCTTTTGCAGACAATCAATAAATTTCAGAAAATAATGATTGCTGGGTCGAATTTTACAGGAGAAGTTGAACAATCTGGAGCATTAACAGTCAAAATACCAGATAATTTTCAGAGACCATACATGTTNTTCCTTTCTGGCTTCGAGCTGAGCATGAAGCTATACAGAGAAAGCTTGATGCCTTACAAAATGTAAGTTTTTTCCTTTTGCAGACAATCAATAAATTTCAGAAAATAATGATTGCTGGGTCGAATTTTACAGGAGAAGTTGAACAATCTGGAGCATTAACAGTCAAAATACCAGATAATTTTCAGAGACCATACATGTTGAAGACACGCAAGGCCTACCTGCTCAAGTTAGCAAATGCACATGCCTCCTGCTTTCTATCAAGCTTGGTTTCTTCTCTTATTTTTTAAAAGTAACTTTTGGTTTAGTCTTATATGTTCACAACTTATTCGATCAACAAAATAATATTTTTACTTCTATCACCCTGTATTGAATGCCAGTAGTTTAAAGTTATGGTTATGATCTAATTAAAATAAATTTTGCTGAACCCACATTGAGCATGATTGGTATCTGCTGTAGATGCTGTCCACTGCAAAAATTATATCTACATCAATCATCTTTCATTAATTTTAATAAATCCTTAAACCTACAGCAATCACCCTTAATTAATTTTTAGAAACTCACAGCCTTTGAAATCTTTACGTATGTGTGTGTGTGCGCTGTAGAAAGACAAAATCCTAGAGAAATATTTATGTGCTTTCCAAACTTTTAGTTTTAGAGCCACAGTAAAACAATTCAAAGCTTTAATCTTAGAGCAAAAATTTTAAAATTAGAGTCATTACCAATCAAACCTGTTATCTGGTTAAACAAATAAGATATCTGGATCATTTTTCTAAAAAAAAAATTTAATTAAATTAAAACTAACTAATTAACCATTTATTTACATCTGTTTAATTTTAAATAGCCATTGACTTGGAACCCACTTATATAGGGAGAACGGTGAGTAAGTTAGATAATATGATTTCTTTGGGGAAAGTATTTGATGAAAATCAGTGTCCTTTTCTTTTCAGTTTCCAGATGCTTAAAAATATCGCTAAATTCTATATTTTTATTAATAGGAGGCTTAGGTATAATATTTTTTGTTTCTATTAAACTAAATCAATGTTTCGGATATAAAAAAACCAGATAAAAGAAAATAAGATAACCTTTTTTACAAATTCAATATATGCAATTAGTAGGAGAAAAGAAAATAAGATTACTTTTTTTTTACAAATCCCAAAATATACAATTAGTAGGTTTGGTAAAAAGTAGTGTTCAACTTATTTAAAAAAAGAAGAGTGTTAATCCATATAAAGCTCCCGCGATAACAAATCTACGTACTAACTAACATGCAAATAATAAAATCAGCTAATATAACAAAAAGTATATTCATTACAAAAACAATAAAATGAAGGTTTGACAATTTTTTTAAGTAAACACTTATTTTTCAACGATAGTTCCACGTTAAATATAAATATAAATATAAATATAAATAATGGTAATTACATTAATCACAGTTCATTCTGAAAATGTACATTAAATTCATTCATACACACAACTATTTTGTATGAGTTAGTTATACTTAAGATAAAGCTACAATTACAAAATAGTTCAATTAATTATTATAAAACAATTTACCATAAAAACAAAATAATCTTTCTGTATGATGAGCCTAGAGACACACCAAACAAAAGAAAATTACTTAAAAGATATTATCTTTGAAAAGAAAAAACAACTATCTAAGAATTCAACCTTGGGAAAAGAAGAAACTGAATGACAAAACACACTAATCAAAACAGTATTTACCCACTTTTAATGTATCCATCATTATTTTAAAGTAGTAGTAACAATCATTAGTTATAAATTATAAATCATCAAGTACAAAACTATGACTTGCAACAAATAATTTAACTCGACTTTCACTCCACCAAATTAGACATAACGTTACAAAGATCTACAATTATATCTCCAAATCATTTTGTCACTATTATTTGATGAATCAATTTAATTGGTTATACAATTTATAATATTATACATCAAATTTATATAATTAAGATAAGTAGATAACGAAGATCTAGATAATGGATCCGATTAGTTGAAGTTTTCTTATCTAAAATAAAAAAAATTAAACCTCTGATTTTTTTTTAAGAAAAAGTAAAACATAAAAATATAGGGTTATAGATTTAAAGGGAGGGTCATTAAACTACCTTGAAACAAAATTTATTGACAGTTTTTAGTGAAATGAAAGTTGGAACATTTATACAGTTCAACCAATTAAATACCATAACTATAAATTAATATTTTTTGTTTATTCTAATTATCATGTTATATATAACTTCCAATAAAAAAGGATAGTAAAAATTTTGAAATGCATAAAACAAAAAAAAAAAATTAATATGATTTTATGATTGCTTAGTTATTTATATTTTATAATATTATAAATAAAATAAACACACTAAATATATAATCAAAATTAAATTTAAGCAAAAAACTCGGGCGTAGCCCGGGCCGACCCTAGTATAATATAATTGGTTCCCGGTGACTATACTTTTCTTTTCTGATATTTCGGTGTGATGATTTGTTAAGTTTTAAAATTTATAATCGTTTTCACTTTTCTTTTACCCTATGAAATCATAATTACCTTTGCAATGAGTTTTGATATTTTGGTGTGAAACCCATATATATTTGTCCTTTACATATCTATGTACGTAAACCATCACAATGAATTTATAACAGGAACACGTATAAAAGAATATTTATATAATACAATATTAGGTGATTTTCCCGTGCTCATGCACGGACATGTATATTTATAAAATAAATATACAATAATAATTGATTGATATTTACTTTAATTTTTAAATTAATTTATAGTTTGTATGTCTAATTTATATTATAATATTATATTACTTTAACTATATATATAATTTTAGATATGTTATATTTAGTCTGTTTTATTGTTTTTACGGTCGATTTAGTTATCATTTAGATATATTGGATTCTATCTATTTCTCTGAATTCAACTATTATCTTTTATATTTTAAAATATTAAATTTTGGATTAATTGTCTTATTTGCATTTATGTTGGTTGTTATCTTAGAAATATAAGTATATTTAGTAAGATTATATATAACTTAAGATTTTTTTGTGCTTAGAAGGAAAAAAAAAAAACTAAAGTTTCTGATTCTAAATTACATACATAAGTAACTAATGAATTTCTAGAAGATTTCTGAACACATATCAATATTTACAATAGTTAACATATTTTATAAATTCTAAATAAATTTATGATTTAGATTGTTTGGATGGTAAACTAAAATTTATTTTAAATAATTTTAAAAATAAGGATTCTGATTTGCTTAAGTATTTGACTATGGTTATATTAAGTTTCACAAACATAAAAACAAAATTAAAAATAAAAAGATTATTAAGAAAACAGATAATTTTAACTATTAAAATATAATACATCTACCTCGTTAAACTATATAGTGTTATGGTATTTTAAAATAATTGTAGTTTTTTCTGTTTTTATGTTTGTGAAACTTAATATAACCATATTCAAAATACTTAAGTAAATCAGAATCCTTATCTTAGGACATATAATTTAACTATTAAAATATAATATATCTACCTCATTAAATTATATAGTGTTATGATATTTTAAAATAATTGTAGTTACTTGATCAAAAGATGTTTATCATTAAATTTATTTTTAGTTTTATTTTTAGTATCTCTTAAAATAGTCAGTTAAAAGTGATTGTTTTTGAAAAATTATACTATATAAGTAAAATATAATTTATATTTTTACTGTAATTGTAAGATATTATAGTCAAATAAATATACTAAAAATAATTTGAATAAATACTAATTATAAAAAAATGTCAGTTAAACATATATCAGTTTATCTTAGTTGATTATTTTATGTAATCATAACTAAACACACAATATTAGTAGAACCTCCCCCAGACTTTAATTACATTGTGACCAATGTTATACAGCCTAAGATTGGTGGGACAATAAACCATAAGGAAAATATTTAACAAAGAAAGACTGTATACCTGCTTTGATGTGAGTATCGATCAACACAGTTAAGTGGCAATCAATACTTGTGATGATCTGTCGAGTGACACCGGCCGGTTGTCTTTCGATAGCTGGTGCAGAACTCATCTTCCTCTTTATCTTTTCCTTTTACCTGATATAAATAAAACACTAATAGTCTAAAAGTTAGTTATAGATAACTAATAAAACCAGTTTTTTTTTGTCGATGAACAGTGCTATGCTCCAGTACGCTGCTACAGTAATCCTGCTATAGTATTTCAAAATTTTCCGGTACAATGTCGATCGATTGTGTTGCTACAGTGTCGATCGATGTACTTACTACCGTACCATCGTTACTGTTCATTAGTTTTTTTTACCTGAAATCCTTAGAAAATAAAATATCAGTAATAAATGAAAATAAAACCATATTTAAAATTACCTAACAGTTGGTTGACTCCCACTCAGCGCTTATTTTTAGTCATTAGCGTGACATCTGGAGATCTGATTCAGTCCAGATGAGAATGAGAACTTGCTCCAATTCAAATCTCAATATCTACTATTTGAAGCTGTATCATTCTTGTGTGAAAGCCTCCTCCATAGACTTTTCTTCTTTGTCTATCATCTCAGCAATTAGGAGTGCTTTAAGCTTTGCATATGGATGTGAGAAGCATCTGCTGCGCACTCTTGATTTTCTGATACTATCTGAAAAGTAAGGACTCAATTGTAATTGAGAACCTCCTTTGGTTCGTTTCCGGTTCTTCCAATTTCTCCTCTTCTTTCCCACAGACTTGTGTAATCTCACTTTGGATTTCCTGACATCATCTGAGAAGTGAAAAATCAATGATAACTGAGAACCTCCATTGATTCTTTTTCTCTTCTTCCAATTCATCCTCTTCTTTCCCCCAGACGTGTCTGAATGCGTGGTGGTATCTCCATCAAAAATATTTCCACACACTTCATACTCATTATGCTCTGATTCGCGTCTGGTGTCGGTCGATGTACCAA